TTAGGGATGCTTTAGGGACAATCTGGCCACGTTTTTTGAGAATGGTAAGCTTCCATTTGATAACCTCCACAATGCCAATATGAAGTTAGAGCAGGACAAGGGTATTCCTAAATAATTTCCAGTATCCCTAGGCTGGGAGGGGGGTGGATTCAGCACAGCTTCAGCTGGCCCAGTGTCAGCTCAGTTGGACCCTGACCATCTTGGCCAGTTAAGAGTGCTTTTTAAGTGTGGATCCAATCCAAAATAATAAATTAATATCTAACACTATGCTGCCTTTTCATGATACAAAGCAAAGCAGCTTCATTTATATACCGCTTCATATCGCGCTATGGGATGTCTAAGCGGTTTACAACTGTGAGCTGATTGCCCCCCAATAATAATAATAATAATAATAATAATAATAATAATAATAATAATTTTTATTTAATATCCCGCCCCTCTGAGCACAATCGGGGCAGCTTACAATAAAATCATCATATCACAAATTAAGAACTATTTCCCCCCTCCCCCCTTAAAAATTATTAAATCAAAATGAGTTAAAACATATATGAAAAAACATATCTTACTATAAAACTTAAAACAATAATATGACAAAAGAAGAAAATGCTGGCATCAGAGAAAACTATCAACTCTCAATGGCCTAATCAGAAGGTGGAGAGCCTCCCCAACAGTTAGTTGGCTACTCATTTTAGCGACCTCGGAAGGATGCAAGCCTGAGTCAAGCCTCAGCCCTAGCTGGTATTTGTGGTATTTGATACCACAAATGGGCTGCCTGGGATGGCTCCCTTACATAGCAATCTATTGAGGGGAAATCCTGATGGAATCAGGAAAGAAAACACAATGGAAAAAAGGCAAGCAAGAGAACATTTTAAGGGCAAAATCCTGCTGCCCAAAAGTTGTTCAAAACATTCATTTGCCCTCATTTGAAATCACAGTGGCTTTCTTCTACCTAAACAGAAGTTTTTGAAAGGAAAATGAGCTTTTCATATACAACTTTGTCTTTGCACTTTTCTGTCATTAAATAAATTATAATGATTACTTTGTACTTTCTTATTTTTAGCTTTGGATATTAATTATATCCCTCAAAAGCCTACTGGAATTGATTTCTACACTGTAGTATCATGTAGGTACTGGTTCTTATGCAGAAAATGACAGCCTTTATTTTCTCACTTTCCCAATCATATCCATCTCATATTGTTTTGACTTCTGTGCTGCATCCATTAAATTGAAGTATATTATGATTTATAAAAAGTCTATATGGGTAGAATTCAGAGACAATAGCCATGTTAGCCTGAAATATCAGTACGCATAGGTATCTTGTACTTTTGAGATGAAGGAGCTGAATAGACCGGCACGATATGCTGGCCTGGGGGCGGCGTGGGGGCATGGCATTTGGACGGTGCATGCCTTGATGCCACCCCCAAGCCAGCATCATGCTGCCCACCTGACCACATGGTGGGCAGCATTGCAACACTCTGGCAGCGTGGCATTTACATACTGCCGAAGCTAAAAAAAAAAATGCTGCCGTAGGGGCAAAAACACGCTTTCCCTGGCTCAAAAAAGAAGTGGTTTTCTGTCGCTTCTTTTTGACCCAGGGAAAATCTGGATTTGGGGCATGGGGTGTGGTTGCCACGGCCCCAATCAGGTGCTTAAAGGGGCAGCAGCAAGCCATTCCTTCAGAGCAGTCTGCTTCTTCCCTTACTGAGCCAAAGATGTTGTAGCATAAGCTTTAGCAGACTTAGGGGGGTTGCAGACTGCCAGAAATAGTGCAAATTGAGTCCACCTTTAGGGCTAGGGTTAGTGCTAGGGAGTCATGGGAATTGTTTTTTGTTTTTTTTCTGAGACATTGAGCCTTCTCTGTCAGAGAGCTCTGGTGCCACAATAAACTACAGTTCCCATGATTCCCTAATCCTAATCCTAACCCTAAAAGTGGACTCAATTTGCACTATTTCTGGCAGTCTGCAACCCCCCTTTGGCTCAAAACACACGGGCCAAAAGAAGCAGCTTCTGGCCACGTTGGAAGCATGCCATTTATACAATGCATATCTCCAATGCAGCTGGAAGCCGCACTGAGTTTGTGCTCCGGTCCTTTAGACTGAAAGAAAAAGAAACTGGGATAATCTGGCTCCTGGTGGTGCAGCTTGGGTCTGGCAGTGGCAGCCCACTTTTGGAGTGGATTGTGCAATCACTGGTTGTGGCCGAAACGGCCTCAGGCAGCATTTTCCTGGCAATTTTCCTAGTTTCCGGGCACAGTACAAGGTGTTGGTTTTGACCTTTAAAGCCC